TGCGCAACGCTTTCTGGGAAATGTAGTTCAGTGCAATGTGGTTGGGGAGACTGATGGACGGTTCGAAAGTTATCTCAAGTCCTCAGAAAGCCAAGCCTTTGCATGGCCAGCTCTGGGGTGCTAGATGCAAGCATTTCGACAGCTCGGATAGGCAGGGATTCTGACGCTCAGGAGCCAAAGAATACTGAGTGGTACAGCTCGGATGGAAAGGGATTCTGGCACTGGGGAGCCAAGGAATGCCACAGGTCACAGTAAGTGCAGCAGCTTGCACCCTTGCTCCAGGGAAAAGCTTCCCCGGTGTATCAGCTCTGCTTCCACAGGAGAGGGCTTCCCCAGCGAAGTTCTCACAGTTGGGCTCAGGTGCCCCGGAGTGCACCAACTCCATTTTGCTAAGGGAAGGTTTCCTCTGCGAAAGTGTTAACGGCCCTGGCTCTGCTCTGACTCCAGTGGAAAGTTATTTCTCTCCTCCACAAGGTCTCACCCAAACCTCATTCAAGAGATTTACCGGGAGGGAAGTATCCAGGAGAGTGGCCGCCTCTGCCAGGGTGGCAGAGGACAACCAGACAGCCTGACAGCCACAAGCTGTTTATAATGGGGCTTCTTAGGGGTGGAGATTTCAATCCCTGAGCTCAGATTGGCTAGATCTTGTGCTCAGAGATTGGTTAGTTTTCTGTGCAGGGTCAGATTTGTCTCTGGTTTCAAGGGCAAAGTGTGCTTCTTTCACTGGTCCTTTAGCCTTTTGACTCTAATTTTAGGGCCAGGGTGTATGTCTTTCACTGGCTCTGATTCCAGCGACAAAAGTGTGTTTCTTTGGCCCTGCTTTAAGGATCAGGGTGCATTTCTTTGGTTCTAGTTGCAGTGCCAACTGAGGGGAGATCTTATCCAAGGTGAATTGCAATCATTTTATGAACTCAGATTGGTCCAGCATGTACCTAAGGCATCATGGGAGGTGGTTGCTCATAAACTATTTCATAGGGGGTGAACTTTTCTAAGAAGGGCTTAAGGTAAGAGGTCAACCCAGTTACCACTCCTCTCAATAGTTTATTTAGTTAAAATCTCCTTTAGAGTTCTATTCATCCTCTCCATCTTTCCTAAGCTCTGAGTTTCCAATTTATGTTAACAGCCTTAGAAAGCAATTAAGATAAATTGGCTGTAAAGTGTGGACCACTGTTGGACCCCAGAGATACGAGGAGATCAAATTTAGGGATAGTTTTTATTATTAATTTCCACTACCACTTGGGCCATTTCTGCTTGGGATGTAAAGGACATCCCCCATCAGTCACCCAGCCTGTGACTGATGGGGTTGTCCTTCAGTATATATGTTTCCCTTATTGGTTGATGAATAAAACACTGTTTGGCCAATGAGGCAGGAAGATAGGTAGGACAAGGAGATAAGGAGAATTCTGGGGGAAGGAGGAAAGGACATACCAGGCATTCCCCGGTAAGATAAGACCACGTGGAAATACATAGATTAATAGAAATTGGTTAATAATTAAGACAGAGCTAGTCAGTCAGTTAGAAGCCCTAGGCATCAGCCAACAGTTTTATAATTAATATAGCATCTGTGTGCTTATTTGGGGCTCAAGGGTATTGGGACCAGGTGGGAAAGAAAGCTTCCAGCAACGTGTGACAATATCAACAAAGACCAGCAGATATTTGTATCCATACAGTCCTGGTTTGACTTCAGCGAAGTCCATTTCCCACAGGAGTACTGTGCCTGACTCCATTGGCCTGGGGGAAGCATGTCCTTCTTTGCATTTACGTGGCACAGGCCAGGCAGTGGTCTGAAATGCTCAGAAGTGTTTCTCTGTGTCCAGGTGTCCAGACACGAGGGGAGATGAGTGCTGAGATTTTCTTAGGTGGCAAATGCATGATGTTTTGCAAGGCAGTTAGCCAGCTTTGGCCCCGTACCTTTGGCAAGAAGATTCTTCCCTCAGGCAAGATCCACCATCCATTTCAGCTCTCCTAAGCCACCAAGCCAGAATGTAACTTTCAGATTCAGGAACATCTTCACCGAGGCAGAGTGGGGGCTCAGGGATAGTAGATAGTTCCAGGACAGTCTGGGGTGACCACGCCCCGTTTATATAGCTGTCCATGAACTGAGACAAAGTGTGCCCACTGTGTGTGTAGATGCTCACCTTTTCTCCTTCAGCCTATCTTTAAAAAAAAAAAAAACTGTCTTTTTATTTATTCTTTGTGTCCTTCTCATGCATCTCCATCCCACTCACTTTCCTGGCCCTTCGTATCTGCCCTCTGCCCTTGCTACCACCCCAAAAAATAAAATTTAAGAAAAATAAAGGGAAAATCTCCTCGTGGACGCTATAGTGTGACCCAGTGAGTCACACAGTAAACCCTTTTGCCCGTATGTCCTTATTTGCAAGTGTTCATTGTAAGAACACAACCTGGATGACCCTGCCCCCTAACGACAGGCGGGGCAAGCACAGGAAAACGTGTTACGTCACCCTCCACCCATTGTGGCCTCGGTGAGGACATGCGTGCGTGAAACCTCAGTGTGCACGTGCAGCCTTCCCTTTAAAAGGTCCAACATTCCCCTTCTCTCTCTCTCTCTCTCTCTCTCTCTCTCTCTCTCTCTCTCTCTCTCTCTCTCTCTCTCTCTCTCTCTCTTCTCTCTCTCTCTCTCTCCCTCTTCTTGTAAATAAACTCCACGTGGGTTGTCCATCCGTAGTTTCCTTCCTTTATACCCGTAGCTGCAGCATAAAAGAATAATTCATTACAAAGAGTCATTGGTCTGGTTTGAGGCCTCTGGTTTCTGATGCACTATTGGTGCTCTTCAGCCCATCTTAAAGCCTGGGTGGATGTGGCCCTGGGCAAGGCTGGGGCCTAAATGAACTCCTTCTGGTCCATGACCATAGAGAGCCACCCCACACACATGTGGTTCCTTCCTAAATGGAGCTGTAGAAATTTGCATCTCTGGTGGTGAGAGGAGCTTCTGTCTGTCTGTCAGGTACCTTGGATGACATCCAGTGCCCTGTATCTGGCCCTGTATCAGTCCCATGCTACAGAGGCCATCTATTCTGCACTGATGTCTTTGGGGCTGCCATCAGAACCAGCAGCCAACCCTGAGTGGGGGAGTGTGGATCGGCAAAGTCCTGGCTACCCAGTGGCGTTAAGGGCGAGACAGAGACATCTTGTCATCTCGGGAGGGCTCTCAGTCAGTACTGGAGACCACTGTTTATTCAATCATTCTCTTGAATAGCTTTCCAAAAGTGGGGGTACAGGCAGAAGACATCTATTGTCATGTAGAGAGCTGATATCAAATATTTCCTTTAATGGTCCTTGAAGCACGACTCAAACCTTCCAGCTTGTCCCACTAGCCCCCAGGCACCAGCCTTCAGGGTATGTGTGGGCCCACCCAGGGCCTAGGTATATCGTTACACAAACTAACTATCTCCACCTTGGCCAGGCCATCCAGAGTTAACCAACCAGCATCTAAAAGACAATGGGAGATTCATGCTCCTGGAACTGAGCTTGAGGCCTGTATCAGAAATATCATATTCATATTGGGGCCCCCCGACAATGTAGCATCTCTGGGCAGTCATGGATGGGCTTTTCTGGGGGTTGTCATCCAGCAGCAGGGTGGCAGGATTGATGGCCAAGGATTTATCGAAGCTCAGTCTGTCCTTATCTAAAAGAAGGGCTTGGTACTGAGTCAGATGGGCATTGGGACTTTCCCACTGTGTGGAACTGTTAAAATTAGAGTCTGTGAGTGTGTGTCAATCCCATAAAGTGAGAATAAGACCACTGCCACAAAATTTTGAGCCAAACATACAGTAAGCTTTATTAAATACTGCCCAGGTCAGTGGACACTAGCTAAGTCGATACCCAGGATTCCAAGAGTATGGCCCTAAATTACATTAGCCAGGAACTTATACAGGAAAAACCCACAAGGCTATGTACTTCCTGCCTTTGTCCAATCATGGGCAAGCAAACATCCCAACATAGATCCTTTCCTACGTACCTCTTACCTACATGTGATCAAGCACAGCCTATTCATTTGGGGCAACCAAGCTTGTTTACAGAAGTGAAAATACAAGGCTTGTTGTCTTACATAAACAATAGCTCCCAGCATCAGGAAGTTATCTTTCCTTGGGCAAGTGAGGTTTACGGCTTAGAGGCAATTTTGTTTTATAGATCTCTTAAGCAGTGTAATTTGAACTTAAAACACAACTTTAGCCATCACATTGGGCAGCTTCTTTTAAAGAGTTGCTGTGGCTGCAATGGCTCTTAAAGGGGCTATCAGGGGCTACATGATCTAGTCTCTATGAGATGCCAGCTGTCGGCCTTTTCCAGGGACCCAGGTCTGCGTCAGGACTCCTTGGCAATGCCCTTTCCTTCGCAGATATAAAAATGAAAAGGCTTGGAGACGTCAATGTGGGGCCTGTTCAAGTTCCTCAGTCCATTCCAAAGGGTGTTACCCAAGCGTTAGCAGAGTACAGGGTTTGGCAGTTTGAGCAAAGTCCAGGATCCAAAGACAACAATATCCAATAGCTCCCAGAAACTCCCTAACATGTTTCTTGGTAGTGGGAGCTGGGATTTGCATTAGGGGCACTTTGCCAGCGTGGGACAGCAGTCTTTCCCCTTATCTCAGTTCATATCCCAAGTAGCTAATCTAGAGCAAGCAAATTTGGGGTTGCTTTTTTAGAAATTCTATAGCCTTAATGTGCTAGAGTTCCCCCAAAGGTCTTGGGTTCCCAAACAGTCCAAGAATTAATGTGGGGAGCCATACATCTTGGCATGAACCTTTAGGCCAAATTTGGCCGGCCACACGATTATAGAACTGTCTTTTGATTATGTCTTCTACAAGCATGAGCTTTGTTCCAACCACAAGCTCAATTACCTAGGCAACCCTCCCTCATCCCACCAGCCCTGAACTTTTTACCCTGCCAACATCCTCCTTCTAAAGTTTTCTGACATCCTGCTTGAACTAACACCTGGCTCTTGGCCTCTTTCCCGCCCCCCTCCTCTGCTGACTATATAAGCTAGCCTAGAGAAAATAAAATTTGCCACTTGATCAGAATCCTGTCTTGTGGTCATTCTCTCCTTGTCTCTTGTCCCCATTCCCCTCCCTGGACATCTTGCCCTAGGTTGGCATCCCTCGGGTTGGAACAACTACATATTAAAGCAAGGTTACCTCGGGGTACTCACTGAGGAAGAGACTTAAATCCTAATTGAGTGCTTCAATGAAGATGCTAGGAGAGGTTTTGAACCCTGGCATTCTGGTCCAGGTTAGCTGTCCCAATAGCTCCAGTTCAGGCTTGGCCCATTCAAATGAGAAGACAGCTGACTTAAGTTTAACAGGGGGATGGAGAAGAATGCATCTTTTAAGTAGTGGTCTATAGTCTTGAGTTCCAGGCTTTTGGATAGGCAACAAGGGGGTATTTCAGACTAAATGGCAAGGAGTAAGTATGGCTATTTCAAGGAGATGGTTGGTGTGGAACTTTATCCCTTCCTTGGCTTCCAAGATGATGCTTGACTTGAATGGGCACAGCCCCAGATGTTAGTTGCACCATGACAGGTGGCACGTTTGGCCATGCCAGCAGGATTGTTCTCTGCCTGGACTATAGGAATTTCCTGGGTCAGCATTTTTTTTCCCATTCCCTTTACTAGGAATGGCTGAAATTTTGGAGTAGATATTCCTCCCTTATTGGGCAGGTTATAGTTAAAGCCCATGTGCAACCTAGGAGAATCTCCTGAGAACAAGCCTGGAGCTTGTTCAGAAGGTCCTACCACTG